TGGGATGTAATGCAGGAAATAAATAGTGTAAGATCACCCTGATTGTACTGAGAAGCTGACAAGGCACCATTTTTATATCGTCAACTTAAAGCTGACAATTTGAAGTCCAGAGTGGAGACTGACAGGAAAGTGAGGTGTTATTTATTTACCTGGTGTATTATTGTCCAGTTTCTGTGAAATAAGGATCAATTCATGTCCCAGTTTCAAGTAACTTTTCTCTTTGTAGTGGGGGCTGACTGGACAAAGTGTTTATACTGTATGTATTCAGAGTTGTACTGCAGTAATGGAACAAACACAGTTTGCTAGTATGGAATATAGTATTATACACCATCAAGTTGATAGCAGCAGTTCTGATTGAAAGAGGATAGACCTACATCACATAAGGAATGCAGCTGTACTTATTTGATATATGTGGGGCAAACCTATCTTTAGTTTCATGGAAAATGTATTTGAACCACTCTGATTTTCAGTTGCTTCCTCCTTCCTTTCCTGAAGTACTTTGCAGATGTACCCCTGGAGATTCCATATTTATCAAAGTGATGTAATATGGTCTTGTAGGAATTATAGCATTTAAAATGCAAATGTATAGTTATATGTTAAAATGCTTGCTGCGTACCATGGGAATAGAATGAAATTTAGAAATTAAGGTTCCACCCACCCACCCACCCACCCTTATTTACTTACAATATTTAGATCATGGATGTCCAACTTTTGGCTTGCCTGGGCTGCATTTAGTGAAGAGGAATTGTCTTGGGCCACATATAAAATATATTACATTGTTAATATATATATACATAAATCACACAATAATATTAAACATTTATGATCTTTTGGGGCCACATTACTAGCTGTCCAGGGCTGCATGTGGCCCATGGGCCATGAGTTGGACATGCTTGATTTAGATACTGCAATTCCACAAAAAGACTCCTGGTAATTTACAATATGAGATACAAAATTATACCACCAGGGTATACAGTCATCACTATCTATCTACCCTGATACCAGTTAACTTACAAGCAATTTAATATTATTTATTAAAAGTTCTTTCTATTAGTATACAATTCCATATGCTATACATTTATATAATATATTATATTGATTATACACCATCAAGTTGATAGCAGCTCCTAGTGATTAGATAGACCTTCTCCAAGATGATCTGTCCCCAGGATTGAAATCTTTCATGGTGTACCCATCACTGTAGTAATTAGGGCCTTGCTTCTGATCTTCTTTTCTTCCACCCTTCCCAGCGTTATAGACTTCTCAAGAGGACTAGGTCTTTGCATAATGTGTCCAAAAGATCATTTGAGACTGATCTTTTGAGTCTTTAGTGAGAATTCTGATTGATTTATTCTATGACCCATTTGTTTGTTTTCTTGGTTATGCATAATATTCTCAGACATTTTCTCCAGACTTCAAGTTTGAAAACATCAGTATTCTTTTTATCTTCCTTCTTCAAAGTCCAACTTTTGCTTTCATAGAATCACATGGGGAAAACCATTGCCAGTCTTTGTAATATTATTTGTAAGTATAAACATATTCCAGCATCTGAATTTCTTAATCTAGGGCCTTTGTTGCGACTAAGCAGTAGTCTAGAGTATATTTCTTGACTGCTTGTTTCTTTACTGTTGTTGGTTAGCTGTTTACCACTTCAATATCTTTATCATCAACTCCTAAAGCTGATTGCTATACCTATTGTCATTAATTTAATCTTCTTTAATCTTAGTCTCATTTCTTCACTGTGCTCTTTGACTTTCATGACTAGAGCTTCCAGATCATTTGAATTTTCAGCTAGCAGAACAATGGTCAAGTTATTGATATATTTCCCTCCAATTTTACAACCACTCTCATCTTTTTCCAATCCAGACTCCCTCAATAAATATTCAGTAAATAGGTGGAATAAATAAAGGAGGGAGTATATGGCCTTTTTTCATTCCTTTGATGACCAGGAAGCAATCTTTTTCAGCATGTTGTGTTCAGACTGTGGCTGCCTGTGTATAGGCTTTTTGGGAGGATAATGATAAGCTCTGGGATTCTTATTTATTTATATTTCATATTTCTTAATTGCCCATCTCCCTCTGTTGATGCAGCCCAGGACTGTGTAGGCTTTTTTAGCAGCTGCAGCATACGTCTGGCTGATATTTAAGTAGTGGTCCACCAGGACACCTAGATCCCTTTCACATGCACTATTATTGAATCAGGTACTCTCTATCCCATACCTGTGTATCTAAGTGCGGGTCCTTACATTTCTTGTCACAGAACTGTGTCTTCTTGGATAGGGCCCAATGTTCAAGTGTGCCAAGATCCTTTTGAAAGTTGAGTCTACCTTCCAAGGGGTTAGCAGTTCCTCCCTGCTTTGTGTCATCCACAAATATTACCGGTGCAGTCCTCATTTAGGATCATTTATGAAGATGTTGAAGAGCACTGGGTCCAAGACAGAACCTTGAAAAACACCACTGCATACTTTCCTCCATGTAGATGTAGTTCCATTAAAGACCACACGTTCAGTGGGTTGGTGGGAAAATCTGTCAGATCTTTCAAGACTCTATTATTATATTGTATAACAGTGGAGCTGCAGTAGTTTCTGTGCTGTCTACATTCTGACCAAGCCTACGTCAAAGGACTAACACACATAAAATTAGAATCTGTTGGAGTTGGGCAGCTAATAAATTTAAATAAATAGTTAAAATTAAGGTTATTGAATAATAGTTTGCATAGTCTACTTTCTCTGATATTGGTAGGTAATTGTCCTCTTCCAATTTGCTAGTCACTGTGTTTACTTCAGATCTGCTAACTTCCTTTGATGAGAACTTTTACTGATCTTTTTTCTGTTGCTGCCATATTGCTGTATATTGTAGACATCTCATCAATTACTGTGGCTTTCTGACTTGGTAATGAACAGAAGGCTGATCTATCTTCTAGTACTACAGGTTCTTGTAAAGAGGAAGTGTCTTGTAAGATATCTTGGACAGACTGTCGTGCAGAATTTCAGTATACTCCTTCATCTTTGTTTGATCTTCTCAGAATTAGTTACTAACTATCCATTAGTGTCCATAACCTATCAATCTGGGGTTAAACTTTGTCCTAAGTTCAGAGATCCTTTGGAAGACTTTCCTTGTTTTTCTGTGTCTGTTTCCATCTTTGATGCCTTTATATATGTTGTAATACTGCTTCTTGTGTTTTCTAACAGTTTTCTGAAATTCTTTGTTCTTTTCTCAGATCTTTCCTATTTGGCTTTGGCTTCTCTCCTTAGTAATTTCCACCATTCTGGCATCAGTTTTCTTTCTTCTGTTTCTTGATCTTTGTCAGTCTCTTTCTACATCCATCCTTAACAACTTTTGCTTTCATTGCACAGTTCCTCTGGTTCCTTATTGATGAAGTTCAGGACTTCAAAGTGATTCTTGGAAATTGTGGATATGTGCTCAATATCATATCATGGAAACTGACTGGTATTTTTTTTCCCCACTTTAGCTTGACTTGGTAATTGCACATGAGCGGTTCATGATTTATTCTACAATCAGCACCTGGCCAGTCTTTGCTGTTATAAATGAACTTTTTGACTTCTTTACATAAATAATATCATCAATTTGACTTATGTGTATTTCACTGGTGATGTCTGTGTACAGTATATAGGTATCATTTTTTTGTCTGAAAAATGTGATAGTAACAGGGAAAAAATGATTGGATTGGTAGACATAGATATGTTGTTCTCTTGCTTTATTTCTGTTTCCTAGGGCATACAGTCCAACTATGTTTTCCTCCTTACTATTTCTAAGGTTGGCATGCCAGTCTCTAGCCACAAGCAGCACATCCTGCTTACAAGTTTTGTCTGTTAAGGATTAACTTTAACGTACAGTACCTCAACTTCTGATTCATCTGCAACAACAGTTGGAGCATAAATGTGGATAACCACAGTATTAAAATGTTATCAGCAAAGCTTATTGAAGTAGTCGGTCATCAATTGCTTTGTGCCTAAGAGCCATCTTGGCTATGCACTTCCTAACTCTAAAGAAATGCTGTTCATTGTTTTTGTTGTTTTGTTCAGAGTAGTAAATGGTAATATCCCTGTGCCTCTTGTGACTTCCTCCTTACTGAGATCCTGTCTATCTCTTCTCCCTTATCTTTCAAGAGAGCTTTTCCATCTTAGAACTAGAGGAAGTCAGGTTAGGAACAATGGGAGGCCTTAGCAAATGCTCAGCTGTGTTGTTTTTTTCTTTGTCTCTTACTTATGACAAAGTTGGGAGTTTTTTTTATTGTTGGGGTGGATAGAGTTTGTTTAATAAGTCCTTTTTAGGAAGGGTGCACTATCAATGAGTCTTTTTGATTTTAGTAACTGGGCAAGATATAAGAACTCAATTGTATAAATATAAAACATGGTAGAATTAAGGTTTGTTATCTGAACTTTGTGTTGGTCTAGGGAGGAACTGTAAATCTTTCCCTCATGTCTACTTTTAGTCACATACAGATACAGCAGGGAAGAAGATATATTAGATGTAGAGATTTCTTTTTTTAATTAGTGAGAGTAAAATAGATCCTATGAAAAGGGATAAATAAAAACATGAGAGTGACCTCAGTGGGAAAGAAAGAAATGAAAGAAAGAGAGAGAGAGAGAGAGAGAGAGAGAGAGAGAGAGAAAAAAGAGAGAGAGAGAAAAAGAAAGAAGAAAGAAAGAAAGAAAGAAAGAAAGAAAGAAAGAAAGAAAGAAAGAAAGAAAGAAAGAAAGAAACCTTCTGGATGGGGGGAGGGGGATCTGTCACTTATTTAGCTGATTGCCACAGTCAGACTGTGAGACTGACAGCAATACCAGCCGAAAAGAATGTAAGATACTTTGGTCCAATATGCCTCAAACAAGCCAAACCGGATCTGTCTCAGCAGGCTGAGCGATGGTCATTAATTTTTAATACTGTTAATGTTTATTAGTGAAGGATGATTGACTTTAAGTGCCTGATGAATAATAAATAAATGATGTACATTTCTGGCATTTGAATCACATTAGGATGGAAGGCCTGTGGGGATACCCTTCATTCTTGAAGAAGTGCATTGCTCCACTTCCCAAAGGTAGGCGCTGTTTTTTTTTTACACTTTCCTTAACATTCTTTTTTTCTTTAAACAGAGAAGAACCTTGAATGGCTTTGGGGAATATGTGGAGTTAGTATTTTCCTTTGGTCACCCTAATGACACAGGGAGGTTCGTCCCACTGGCTGTCACTAATCTAAGAAGGTCTGATCTACACTTGAAGGCCCTGTTGGATTTCATAACAAACACCTGTGTCCATCAAAGAGAACACACAGGATCTCTGCACGAGCACTCCTTGACTTTGTAATTTCATTGACTGACAGTTTAATATCTATTTATTTTCACATCTGACTCCAGTAGAGACAGGCAGGCATCCTAAATGTCAAGATATTATGCTGACAGCCACGGGTGTTTTTTTTTTTTCCATTATTTAAGAGGAGAAAGGTTCTTTGTACATAAAGTGTTATTTTTCAAGCCTACCAGCTAGAATAAAGACCAAATTATAGGGCATACATAATTGCCAGTGTAACTGCTGATAGGTTATCAGTACATATTTTTATAGGGAGTTTAGGTGGAGATAGTCAGTTTGATTTACTTGCAAACTTACTCTGCTTTCCATATTTGAGAAATGAAATGTGTAAATTACATTATTGAAATTGATGGAGCTGCTGTCATTTCTAGAGACAAGGGTAAGTAGTGTCTCCTATTCTAAAATTAACTATTTTAGGGGGGAAAAAGACCTTTGGTTTTCCTCAGGGCTCATTTAAACTGTAAATGGAAAGAAGGAGGGTTGCCCCAATCGAACTTTGCAATGCTGAAACAACATCGGAGGATACAAATGTAAAAATAAATCCTACGAAGATCGTAATGATCATTCGGGGAAGAATACTTATTGGGGTTAGGGCAAATGACGAACATTGTGTGACACTGTTCTTCTTATACCAGGACAAGATGGTATGGCATTGGCTTAAATAATTGTGATTTAGGACATGCCATACTAAGAAGAGGATTATTTCATTTAAAGTCATTTTGTCATTGCTTTATGATTACTGAATTATAATTATATAATTCACTTCCAATAGAAACAAATATCTGTAGCTCATTGATAATGTTTCATTATCTGACTAAGTAACATTATACAAAGCAAGCAAACAACTGAGCTCAGAGGGCATCAAGGATTCCACAATTACTATTGTAAAAATACCAGTTCCTCAGAAAATTTTGGAGTAGATCTGGAGGCAAAGTCTGACAAATGATTACTTATTTATAATCACAATTTATGAGACCTCCCCAATTCAAATAAATAAATAATACATTTATTTAGGCTGCACAAATAGAGCAGAACTAGAGCCAATCATAGTGGCCCTTATTGAAGATTGCTATTGGCACCATGGGGCCATTAAAAAAAAATACCAGGGATGAGAGTGCTGAAATTTTAATGCACTTGTTTGAGAAATAAGGAGCCAACGTTTCATTTGTATATATATATATCCCTTAATAGTCTGATATTAGAAATATTTGACAAGGCAGATTTGAATATATCCTTCTCAAAATTGGACGTTAAGATCGGTGTCCCAAAAGACGACTTGGTGTCTATGAAGGCAAAGGCCACAATGTTTAATATGCATAAGCTGCTTTGTTTGTCTTTAAGTCTGAACTCGGGTCTAACAGCCTAATTCATAATTCAGACAAAGAGAATGAGTTAACAAATATCTTTTTTTTCTCCTCTACGATTTGCATATTTAGTAAGCAGATTCTGCCAATGTGTGTCTGCTGTTTTCTGAAGGAAATGAAAATGTCTCGCGTGCCATTCATGGAAAGGAATGGGTTTACTTTATTCAATTGCCTTGTAGTAAAGAAACCAAGATTTGGTTGACTGCAGTGGCACACTGGATGTTTCTTTAAGAATGACCCCCTGATCGTGCAAGCTGTAAGGGTAGTCCTTGACTAACAGCAGTTCATTTAGTGACCATTCAAAGTTACAACAGCACTGAAAAAGTGACTTGTGACCATTTTTCACACTTACGACGCTTGCAGCATCCCCATGGTCATGTGATCAGAATTGAAATGCTTGGCAACTGACTCATATTTACGACTGATGCGTCCCGGGATCATGGGATCACCTTTTGCGACTTTCTGACAAGCAAAGTCAAAGGGGAAACCAGCTTCACTTAACAACTCTGTTACCAACTTAACAACTGCAGCGATTCACTTAACAACTGAGGCAAGGTCATAAAATGGGGGCAAAATTCACTTAACAAACTTAGCAACATAAATGGAGGGATCAATTGTGGTCATAAACTGAGGACTACCTGCATTGTCACCTGTCTTTTGTTTGGTCAGGCAATCCTTGTTTTGCAGGAGAATTCAGAAGGACAGAGAATCCACAGGTCACTGCAAGTGTACGAATTAAGTCCTCCACTTGATGCCGATGGGAATGCTTCAGTGGTGGGATTCAGATATGTGAACAACTGGTTCTCTGTATGGATGCTGCTTCCGGAAGTCCATTCTGGGCCTGGGCAACAAAATATTAGCTACCGATTCTGCCGAAGTGGTACAAACTGGCTGAATCCCACCGCTGGAATGCTCTCTAAGTAAAACTAGATCTGGATTTAATCTGTTTCTTTATAACTGTGCCTAACCTCCCTGGCCTTTGAATCCAACAATTGCTTTTTAAGACAACTGTAACACGTCAACCTGTAGAGACAGGATCAACTTCTGAGTCTTTTCCAAAGAGGAAGAAAAGATGGACATTTGAAGAAGAAATGTTTTGTTTCAGCCATGGCTTCTAGTATACTGGTGCTCAGTTTGGAAAGAGAGGATCTGCTCTCCAATTTGCCTCATTTTCAGAAAAATGTGTGAACTAACATAATGAAAAATCTTATCCTCTAAGATCAGAATTCTATTGGTGATATTTTCATATCCATACAGAGAGGCCAGTTGGGGATTTACCCTAATTTGGTGATCCACGGGCAGTCCTCATAACCACAACTGAGCCCCAAATTTACCTTGCTAAGTGAGTTTTGCCCCATTTTACGACTTTTCCTGCCACGGTTGTTAAGTGAATCACTGCAGTTGTTAAGTTAGTAACTCGGTTGTTAAGAGAATCTGGCTTCCCCATTGACAACAACAACAACAACAACAACAACAACAATAATAATAATAATAATAATAATAATAATAATAATAATAATAATAATACACCCCAGACTTAACAATTGTCGATAAGAAAGACAAAAAAGTCTGGATAGTGGACGTGGCAGTGCCTGGAGATAGCAGAATAGAAGAGAAAGAACTGGAGAAGATAACAAAATACAAAGACCTACAAATAGAAATAGAAAGACTGTGGCAAAAGCAAGCAAGGGTAGTACCAATAGTCATAGGCTCCTTGGGTGCAATCCCAAAACAACTGGAGCACCACTTGAACACCATTGGCATTGACAAATTCGCTATTAGTCAATTGCAAAAGGCGGCCTTACTAGGAACTGCTTCCATCCTGCGACGATATCTGTAATACCATCAAACATCCACATCTGCCTATCCCAGGTCCTGGGTAAGGACTCGATAGGTAGACAAAATGCCAAATCCAGTCTGAACATCTGGCTGACTGTGCGATGATCCAATAATAATAATAATAATAATAATAATAATAATAATAATAATAATAATAATAAAGTTGGAAGGGATCTTGGAGGTCATCTAGTCCAACCCCCTGCTCAGGCAGGAAACCCTATACCATTTCAGACAAATGGCTGTCCAGTCTCTTCTTAAAAACTTCCAGTGTTGGAGCATTCACCACTTCTGGAGGTTAATTGTTCTAACTGTCAGGAAGTTTCTCCTTAGTTCTAGGTTGCTTCTCTCCTTGATTAGTTTCCACCCATTGCTTCTTGTCCTGCCTTCAGGCATCTTGGAAAATAGCTTGACTCCCTCTTCTTTGTGGCAGCCCCTGAGATACTGGAACACTGCTATCATGTCCCCCCTCGTCCTTCTCTTCATTAAACTAGACATACCCAATTCCAGCAACCTCTCCTTATATGCTTTGGCCTCCAGTCCCCTAATCATCTTTGTTGCTCTTCTCTGTACTCTTTCTAGAGTCTCAGCATCTTTTTTACATCGTGGTGACCAAAACTGGATGCAGTATTTCAAGTGTGGCCTTACCAAGGCATTGTAAAGTGGTATTAATACTGCACGTGATCTTGATTCTATCCCTCTGTTAATGCAGCTCAGCACTGTGTTGGCCTTTTTGGCAGCTGCAGCACACTGCTGGTTCATATTTAAGTGATTGTCCACTAGGACTCCGAGGTCCCTCTCACAGTTACTACTGTTGAGCAAGGTACCCCCTATACTATGCCTGTACATTTGGTTTTTCTTGCCTAAATGTAGAACCTTACTTTTTTCACCACTGAATTTCATTTTGTTAGATAGCGCCCAGTGTTCAAGTCGCAAAAGGGGATCACGTGATCCAGGGACACAGCAACCGTCATAAATATGAACCAGTTGCCAAGCACCTGCATTTTGATCATGTGATCATGGGGATGCTGCAACGGTCATAAGTGTGAGAAACATCCTAAGACATTTTGTCCCCCAGTGCCGTTGTAACTTTGAACAATTCACTAAATGAACTATTGTTAAGTTGAATAAATACCTCTTGTATTTTCCCATTTTTTAAAAAAATGCATACAAAAATCTGTAATGTGGGAAAACATACACAGGCTGTGTCTGTGGGGATTCTCAGTCATCCAGGTTATAGTTATTCTAAAGATGCTTTTTTTTCATGAGGCAACTGGACTTTCTTGTTTTTCTTTGAAAATGTTTTGCTTCTTCAGCTCAGACTGGCTGGTGGGGGATGAAATCCTTCCATTTCCCCCCCATCCAGTCCGAGCTGAAGAGGCTTCTTAGATGAGAAGCGAAACATCTTCAAAGAAAAACATGAAAGTCCAGTTGCCTTGTGAAAACAAACAAACTAACTAACATCTTTGGGATACACAGGCTGTGCAAAATGTACCTACAGGAGAAAATTAGACCCTTTCTCGAAATTATATATGGAAAAACCGCTATTAGATAAATGGTGTGCAAAAACATCTCTATCAGGGAAAAAACAGTGTGTGTGATATTTGAGTTTCAAAAAATGAGAAACGTGGCAATTATAAGAGTATTTCTCTCATCCTTAGCATGGCTTCCCCTTTTCTTTTTCTTCAAATATTAGCAAGACTGAGCTGTGAGCAGGCTTCATCCTCTTTATAGGAAGCCAGGCTTGGAATGTAAAATGTCAGACCGAATGCCCCTCTGCTCATCTGCTGCAGGTTTAAATTGTGAACAAGACAAATAGTTCAAACTCACTCTGAGCACAGTGAGAAAGTAATTACTCAGTCATTGAAAAAGGTCCTATTATCATTACCCGGTAACCTGAATGTCCACCACATATCTGGGTATTATTTTAAATGGCTTCCAAAAAAGCATTTTCAGAATCTCAAATTTAAATCACATGAAAAATAGTTCCATTTATTATTTCTTCCTCTCTCTCTCTCTCTCTCTCTCTCTCTCTCTCTCTCTCTCTCTCTCTCTCTCTCTCTTTTCTTCCCAGGCAAGGTGAGGAGTTTCAGAGATTATTCTAAATGTCAGTTTAGCATATATTTTAGCCAGCTGGATGTGCAAATGTGCTGAATGAAAACTTCTCTTCCTGGAGTAAATGCCATGTTGGTAAACGAAAAGGGATAGTAATATGTAAAGGTCAATTCACATGGCGAGTTGGGTGTTGTTATTAATATGACTAAGAAGATTACTTTTATGGGAGGTCATCCTATTAATTAGATAAACCACAGCCACCACCGGGAAATCTTTGCTACATTCACCCTCTTAATCCATGTGTTGTTTCTGAACCTACCATCATTTCTCTGGCAAGTAGCAAGGGATGAGCTGTACTCTGTTTCTGCTACACAGCATCCAAAGTCACATATTACCATCCCTGTCAATGCTGTGAACTAGAATCACTTCATTGCTCCATTACATTCTACCTCCCACATTCTGCACACAAGCAATTGTTTAACCATTGTGAACTGCTAGAAAATGACAGCTGCTTTCCTTTTAGAGATGGGGGGAATCATGATAATAATAAAAAAGGACGCGCCAAGCAGAAAGTACATCACATAACACAACCCCTAATCAAAAAGAAAGGCAATCTGACAAAAATCTTCTGCCATCCTTATATCTATCCATCCATGCAGAAGCAGCAATAGTCTATATTCTGGGACAAGTGAGGGTGTCAGCAAGGCTTCTACTCAAGGCTGGGTGCGAGATCCAGATAAAAGTGGAGTAATAAATGCAGATGGGGGGGGGGAAGGTCCAGGATATCAACATTTGTCAGACAAGACTTTCTGGGGGGAGTTGCAGGATGGTGGGTGAAAGATCCCCAGATCTGGCTTATTTATTTGATGAAATATGTACTACATGCAAGTGTCCCATAAGAAAGGTATGTGTCTTTATTTTTTTAAGCCCATGTGTTTGTCTTTCAATAGAAGACACAATGGCATACTTTCAGGCAGCAGGTATAGGGGCCAAGCAGTGGTGGGATTCAGGCAGTTTGCACCAGTTCAGCAGAACCAGTAACTATTTTTTTGTTGCCCAGGCCTAGAATGGACTTCTGGAAGCGGCATCCACACAGAGAACTGGTTGTTCACATATTTGAATCCCACCACTGGGGCCAAGGCTTCTATGCAAAGCTTTGATCATCTTTTTGCAGGTTTTTCTCTGCAGAAGGCATCGTTCCAGAGGGGAAAGAAGGAAGGAGAAAGACTACAGCAAGAAAGCAATGGCAAGGATAGGGGAAGAAACACCTCTCTGGAAGGAAAAAGAGAGAGAGAAGGAGAGAGAAAGCACCGAAAACATTGTATAGCAAGTGGGGCCTTTTTAAGAGCAATTTAAAAGAAGCTGATATTATAGAAGGACACTTTTTTGTTTCTCCTGACTATGGTGAGTAAAAAGCGTCTGTCTTCAAAAGGGAACTCATATTTTAGGTATTAAACAAAAGTAAGCGAGTTCATTCTTCCCATTAAAAATATAGGTTCGATCCTTATTGGCTTTGGGGGGGCAGGGGAAAATCTTTCCAATTAAGTGGCCTTATTTTATGAAGTTGTAAAGTTTTAGCATTGCTTTATTTGATATACATATTAAAATGTAACCATTAAAAGTGGTATAATTAGTCCTTGCCCAAACCCAATGAAATGATGTTATTCTCGGGGGTGGGGGGATGTTATACAAAATTAATTTATCCGGTTTGGTGTCACAAAATTTGAGAAACACTGTTCTACTCATTCCATACTCCCCTTTGTCTATGCAATGAAACACCAGCCTGTTGACCGTGTCCCACAAAAGACATCTTTTGGTGGGTCCTCCCTATATTTTAGCACCAAATCTTCCAGTTACTTCAAAGTAATTCTTTGGGATGTTCCTTTACTGACAAGACTTTTGCCTTTTCTGTTGTTCCTTGCTGATTAAAACAGGTCTAAGGACATTCTGTTGCTCACAATGTTAGCAAGCAGATAGGTATCTCAGGATATTAATCACTTGCATGATTGATGCCACTGTAATATAGCAGCAGCTTCATTTGGACGGTGAATGGTTTTGGATAATCTCTAATCAGCACAGAAGAAGAATCTGTCTTATTTGAATGTGTAAAGCATACCTTAGTCTGCTTGGCCAACTGGCAACATGCCTGTACACATTTTAGGCTGATTCACACAGTGGAAAAAAATGTCTTCCATTTGATTTGTTGTTGTTGTTAATTGCGAAGTCGTGTCCGACCCATCGCAACCCCATGGACAACGTTCCTCCAGGTCTTCCTGTCCTCTACCATTTTCTGGAGTCCATTTAAGTTCACACCTACTGCTTCAGTGACTCCATCCAGCCATCTCATTCTCTGTCGTCCCCTTCTTCTACTGCCCTCAATCTTTCCCAGCATTAGGCCCTTCTCCAGTGAGTCCTTCCTTCTCATTAGGTGGCCAAAGTATTTGAGTTTCAACTTCAGGATCTGGCCTTCTAAAGAGCAGTCGGGGTTGATCTCTTCTAGGACTGACCGGTTTGAACGTCTTGCAGTCCAAGGGACTCGCAGGAGTCTTCTCCAGCACCATAGTTCAAAGGCCTCAATTCTTTGGCGCTCAGCCATTCTTATGGTCCAACTTTCACAGCCATACATTGCAACTGGGAAAACCATGGCCTGGACTATACGCACTTTTGTTGGCAGGGTGATGTCTCTGCTTTTTAGTATGCTGCCTAGATTTGCCATAGCTTTCCTCCCCAGGAGCAAGCGTCTTTTAATTTCTTGGCTGCAGTCCCCATCTGAGGTGATCTTTGAGCCCAGAAAAATAAAATCTGTCACTACCTCCATTTCTTCCCCATCTATTTGCCAGGAATTGAGAGGGCCGGATGCCATGATTTTGGTTTTCTTAATGTTGAGTTTCAAGCCAACTTTTGCACTCTCCTTCTTCACCCGCATCAAGAGGCTCTTTAGTTCCTCTTCACTTTCTGCCATTAGAGTGGTATCATCTGCATATCTTAGGTTGTTGATATTTCTCCCGGCAATCTTAATTCCAATTTTTGTTTCATCTAGCCCTGCCTTTCTCATGATGTGCTCTGCATATAGGTTAAATAGGCAGGGCGACAGTATACAGCCTTGCTGGACTCCTTTTCCAATTTTGAACCAATCAGTGGTTCCGTGTCCAGTTCTCACTGTTGCTTCTTGACCCGTATATAGGTTTCTCAAGAGACAAATAAGATGGTCTGGTATTCCAATCTCTTTAAGAACTTGCCACAATTTGTTGTGATCCACACAATCAAAGGCTTTAGCATAGTCAATGAAGCAGAAGTACATGTTTTTCTGGAACTCCCTAGCTTTCTCCATGATCCAGCGTATGTTGGCAATTTGATCTCTAGTTCCTCTGTCTCTTCGAAATCCTGCCTGTACTTCTGGTAGTTCTCGATCCACATACTGCTGGAGTCTAGCTTATAGGATTTTAAGCATAACTTTACTAGCATGTGAAATGAGTGCAATGGTGCGATAGTTTGAACATTCTTTGGCATTGCCTTTCTTTGGAATTGGAATGTAAACTGACCTTTTCCAATCCTGTGGCCACTGTTGAGTTTTCCAAATTTGCTGGCAAATTGAGTGTAGCACTTTTACTGCATCGTCTTTTAAGATTTTGAATAGCTCAGCTGGAATACTGTCACCTCCACTAGCTTTGTTGTTGCTCAGATTTTCTAAGGCCCATTTCACTTCACATTCTAGGATGTCTGGTTCGAGGTCAGTGACCATCTCATTGTGGTTATCTGGGACGTTAAGCTCATTCTTATATAGTTCTTCTGTGTAGTTTTGCCATCTCTTCTTAATCTCTTCTGCCTCTGTTAGGTCCCTGCCATTTTGGTCCTTTATCATGCCCATCTTTGCATGAAACGTTCCCTTCATATCTCCAATTTTCTTGAAGAGATCTCTGGTCCTCCCTATTTTGTTGTTTTCTTCTATTTAAAAAAAGAAGCTATATTGACGACGAACCTTTATCCTGTTGGCAGAACAGGTTGCTACAGTTTGCATAAGATTCAAGGGTCTGTATAAACAAACCCAAAGTTGGTAGCAGAGCAAGCTATGGGTAGCTCCTCAAATTTTCTCTCTGTTACAGTTACTGAAGAAGATTCACCTTCTATCACCTACTAAAGAGAAATCTGTCAAATCCTTCCAGTGCTGAGCTGTAAATCCTACGTGGTTAGATGAAGCCTCTGAAGAAGTGAACCACCCATTTGCAAATGCGAAGAAATGTTTGATTGGAAAAGAATGGCAAACTAAAAGCAGCTATTAAGGATTTATTTAGAAAGCCTGCCTGCAACTTCTAAAGGCAAGACAAGGTGTAATTCAGATTTGTGTCTTTTGTTAGTGCTTTTCTTTTGAATGTTTTAAATCCATGGGGCTTGCAGCCCTGGTGAATAAATGTTCTCCTTCCCTTCTGTAACATAATTTGAGCCAATCTAGAATTAATAGAACATGATCAACTTTAAAAGAATATATAATAAAAGGAAAGACCTGTCCACACATATCCCGTGGTTACAATTTGCAAGCTTCTTTCATTTTGTGCACATAGAGTGAATATTTTTACACTCATTGCAACCTTGTTGGAGGGTGAAGAACTTAAAATCCCCTCGCTTTTCATTAACCTTGCAGGACAAACCCTGAAAAAGAGACATCATATGGTGATAGCAGCAGCATGAACTTGACCATCTCTGCATGCCCAACAGAAATCATACAGACTGATTGATAAGGTGTTACATAGAATATTGGTCAAATCATCCACGATGTACTCCCCCACTTGACAGATGTTTCTTAATCCCACAATAGCTACAATTACTTAAAAAGGAATATATGAAACTTTTCCTCATCTTCCTCATTCCCCCACCCCTTTTTTTAAAAAAAATCTGCCTATCAGAGGTTGGAGAAAAATTATCCTTATAGTATGTATGCAGTGATAGAAGAGAATATTTATAGCTCAGAGTTGAACTGTGGGGACCTTGGTAATCTCTGATCTTGGTGCTTTTCTTGCAGATGTTTTATTACCCAACTAGATAACAATCAAGGAGCCACCAAGAACACTCTCATCAACTCTGACAAGGCAAGCCACTGTATATAAACAGAGAGTAAACCCCACTCCCTTCTAGCGCTGGTGATGTTACCTAGTTGGGTATTATTACTATTATTATTATTATTATTATTATTATTATTATTATTACTATTATTATCTGCACAAAAACAACCAAGCTCAGACAGCACCAAGGACCCTACACTATGTCGGCTGTTTTCGGCTACTACATATCACATGGGCTTAATACTGTTATTATACACAGTAACTGTAGTTGTGTATAATTTGTACCCAAGTAGTGGGTCAACAGTAGAAATTGAATTCAGAAGTATATAACTTTGAATTGTCATTTTAATGCTATATTCATTTAGAACTGCACCATCCTATGCCCTTTATTTGCCATATTTATCTATTTGCATGTGTACATATATTTGATAAATGTGTCAAATTCTATCTTTTTAGTACTGTGGATACAGAGGGATGAATATGTCATCTTTGCATTGAGAACTAAAGATTACAGTGAAATCCATGCAAATTCAAAACTGCTAACTGAGAATGGACAGCTGGATTATATAAAGTTGTTGTCCTGCCTATTTCATTTATTTTCAGTTTTATTTAGAACCGAACAGAACAGAACAGAACAGAACAGAGCCGGAAGGACCTTGGAGGTCTTCGAATCCAGCCTCCTGCTCAGGCAGGAGAACCTATACAATCTCAGACAAGGTGTGTTGCTTGCAAGTTTTGTTAGTGCCACACATGTATATAAGCAATGGTTAATTGTTCTCACTGTTAAGAAGTTTCTCCTTAATTCCAGGTTGCTTCTCTCTTTGATCAGTTTCCAACCATTGTTTCTTCTCCTTCCTTCTGGTCCTTTGGAGAATAATTTGACCCTCTCTTCTTTGGGGCAGCTCCTCAAATACTGGAACACTGCTATCATGTTTCCCCTATATCTTCTTTTCTTTAGACTAGCCAAACCCAATTCCTGCAGCTGTTATTCATATTTTTAGTATCCAGGCCTTGGATCATCTTAGTTGCTCTTCTCTGTATTTTTTCCGAAGTCTCAACATCTTTTTTGTAGTATGGTGGCCAAAGTTGGTTGCAGTATTCCAGGTGTGGTCTCACTAGAGTTTTCTAAAGCAGTACTAATACTTCGTGTGATCTTGATTCTATGCCTGTTTATACAACCCAGGATTGTATTAGTTTTTTTGGCTGTTGCTGCATACTGCTGGCTCAGGTTTAAGTGAGTGTCCACTGGGACTCCAAGGTTCATTATAGACCAAAAAAGCCTTTTTTTTTTTTACAAGTTCACTGAGGTAACTAGATTATGCTTCTTTTATTTCAAATGAGATTGACGCGCATGATGCTTTTATTTCAAATGAGATTGACGAGCATGTTTCCCTTGTAGATCAAGTGACAGGAGTAATGGTGAAACTATAACTTTTCTTTGTACTGGTCCACTGATGGGTCCCTACACACGGGGCTGAGCAGTGAGGCATTCATTCAAGGAAACTACATATCCATGAGAAGAAAAAGGCTTATAGGGGAATCCTCCAACTGGGGATGATGGTGACTGTGGTATGGGCAGGACAATTGGCCATCATCATGACCAAAGCAGAGGAAGGGCTTGAAATCCAGAAAGCAGTTCCTTAAACTGGCTTCATTTCCAGCTGATTTAGGCATGGGAATCTGGCAGCTCAAAATTTCAGCACGGAAAAGCCCAATGCCAACCAACCAGTCCTTGTGCCTTCTCTTTCATGCAGGCCACTCACTGATCACGACACCAGAGTTTCCAGTTTTCCCCGAATAAAAGGCCCTTTTCCCTTCCGTCACAAAAGCAAAATAAATCCACCCATATTTCATGCATTTATTCTTGATAGGCAGCTATGGATGAGGTTACAAGGGCAGATAAATTTTTAAATGACTGACAAATGCACCGAGAAGTCTCAAAAGCCTTTTCTTCATCATGATGCCAAATCAGCATTTCAGAAGGAACTTTGTGAAGACCGCATTCTAATGAGCTCTGAAATATGTTACCCCAGCAAATCCTGAGCATCCTGAAGCAAATCCTGCCTGAGTCGCTCGCTGGCAAAATTGCATAAGGGCTTTTCCCTTTTATTGGACTGAATAAAGTACTAGCTAGAAGCTGGGGCTAAAAAAAAAAAAATTCTCACAATTTGAAAACAAACACCAACAAACTCGGGATGAATTCATTAGAATGTGGGTTTTATTCCCTTCCGAAGTCAGGGACTTAAAATGCAGGAAGGGACATTTGCATTGCCTAGTTTCTGGTTTGCAAGCATCAATAACAAGGAAAGATCTGGAGCTAGAATTGCTCACAGACCACAGTAGTTGTAGGACTGCTTGAATTGTTAATCCGATTCCGTGTGACTTTTCTTGGGCTCAGATTCTCATACACTGTACAAGTTTCCTGCCACTCCTTTGGGCCTTCAGCTTGCTCAGCAACCAAAGAAAATAAGAAGATCCTAAGGAAATGAACTCGTCCCATGCACTGAGAATGAAAACCCAGGTGATCTGCGGTTCTAGAGGGAGGAAATGTGACTTGATTTCCTCCTTGGAGCAGTTAATAAGTCTGCTTGTGTTGTGCATTTGCTCAATTAGCTATATTCCTGTGCATGTACTAAACTGCGCAGGAGTAAATTCCACTTGCCAAAACATCTGTTCCTGGCATTCATCCCAGGCTAATAAAAGATTCTCTGAAGGTAGGTGCATTAGATAGTGCTGAAAAGCAGAGACGTGCAGCTTAGTCTTCAGAAAGATCACAGTCTAGTTGGTTTCAAAGACTTTAAAGTGGAGAAAATTTTTATTGTTCTGCATGCTCCTATATGCTCATGCCAAGCTCATCAGTGGCCTCTGAATATCTCTGCCTTTGCTTGCCTGTTTAATGTAACATCAATGCATCGAACCACAATAGCCTTAATTGCAAAACCATCTTTCTCTATACACATGCTACAATGACTCCCTCATGACAGGTAATCTTCCCAGAATTGTAACCTTTGTTTACCTCCATGAATGGCCTTTGATTCCTAAATGGAATATCTCCATAAAGTGCAACATTCTCAAGGATACAGATAACGGGTCTATTTACAATTCTCTCTATTCAAAGTGGGATCCAGGGTCAAACAGTTAAAATAACAACCAGCTTGATTGGCATTCACATTTCTCAAAGGCTAAATACCCCACATTATCAAGTGTTCTCCTTCCAGATACATGGATTTCCAAATTCCGGTGTGCCCATCTGTACTCCTTATTCATTGTAAAAAAAAAAAAGTGTTTATCCACGATCAAATGATACATATGCTCATCTTCCATCTCTGTAACTCTGTTGACTAAGTCTCTGCTGCTCTTCACTTAACTCCAAGAGACAAATGACTTACTGTAACTTAGTAGCTTTAATAAAATATTTGTTGGGTCCTTTTCAGTTATTGGCATGTTCATAGGTACATTTTCCTACTGTACCAATAAAAATATTGCAACCGTGCAACATCTGGAATCAATGCTAGCAGAATTCAAGTGAGACCTCCTTGTTCTCAGACACCAAATCACTCTAGTCTGGAAAATGGACTTTAGCTCTTTCTGCTAAATTCCCAGTTTACTATCTTTCTTAATGTTTTGAAAATTTCTCCATGTGTTGTCCTCTGTTTCATTTAGTGCAAAACAAACAAACAAACAAAAAAATTAAGATGGCTGAGGACTGTCAAATCTCTGTTGATTTCTTTACAAATATTCACATCTCCCAGACACAAAAAGTAATAACTTTTTTTAATCATAATCACCACTGGGCCTATTAATTGAAGGAATTTCTGTGTCCTAGGGACTGAGGTTTATGCCACTTGAGGATAGCTTGTGATAGACATTAATATTTATCACCTTGTAATAGGTATTAAGGTTACAGCCTCCCAACTATTCTTATATCTTATATTTTATGTCAAAACAAGCCATGATAACAGGTTCTTGAAGAAGTGGCAAATAAATGATGTTACCAACATTGATCAAACTTCAACTTGGCTGTGAATGTAATCTTCCAGTCACTCTTTTGGTGAAAGTAAAACAGGAACAAAAGAACTTGACCATCTATACCAGTGGTTCTCAACCTGTGGGTCGGGACCCCATTTGGGGTCAAACGACCATTTCACGGGAGTCGCCAAACAACACAGTCCGCCATTTTTTTCCCCTTTTCCTTAGCTGTGCTACTCTCTTTTATTCTATTGGCTTTTGAAAGCCAATATAATAGACTCTCTTGAATAGAGTCTAATTCTATTGGCTTTGGGGGTCGTGGTACTAAAAAGGTTGAGAACCACTGATCTATACCATTTTGGTAAAATCAAGACAAAATGGTTTCTCTTTATTCTCCCGCTACATTTATATTACCAGATTCATTCACAT